TCAATATTTAAAAAGTTCTAATTAAATTGGTGAAGAAGGTGCATCATACTTAGGTTCTGCTTTAGCAAATTGCATTAATCTCTCAAATTTGACACTTTACCTTGAGTAAAAACAGTTTATTTGTTTTGGATTGTGATATTTTTAATTATAAAAACTAATTAAAAACAATAAAGCTCTTTTTTCTATTTTCTTTTTATTGTCCTTGCTTTTTTTTGTTCTTTTTTTCTTTGTTAATTTAGCTCATCATTTTATTTTCAACTTATGCTTTTATTATTAATTAATTAATCTTATTATTTCATATTTTTTACTCATTTTTTCCTTCTAATTAACTATTTAATGATATATTTTTTCTTCAATATTAAAAAAGTGAGAATTAAATTGGTGATGAATGTGCATCAGGCTTAGGTTCTGGTTTAGCAAATTGCATTAATCTCTCAAATTTGACACTTAATCTTTCGTAAAAACAGTTTATTTGTTTTGGATTGTGATATTTTTAATTATAAAAACTAATTAAAAACAATAAAGCTCTTTTTTCTTTTTCTTTTTATTGTGCTTGCTTTTTTTTGTTCTTTCTTTCTTTCTTTCTTTGTTAATTTAGCTCATCATTTTATTTTCAACTTATGCTTTTATTATTAATTAATTAATCTTATTATTTCATATTTTTTCTTCATTTTTTCCTTCTAATTAACTATTTAATGATATATTTTTTCTTCAATATTTAAAAAGTGAGAATTAAATTTGTGATGAAGGTGCATCAGGCTTAGGTTCTGGTTTAGCAAATTGCATTAATCTCTCAAATTTGACACTTTAACTTGAGTAAAAACAGTTTATTTGTTTTGGATTGTGATATTTTTAATTATAAAAACTAATTAAAAACAATAAAGCTCTTTTTTCTTTTTCTTTATATTGTGCTTGCTTTTTTTTGTTATTTCTTTCTTTGTTAGTACAGCTTATCATTTTATTTTCAACTTTTGCTTTTATTATTAATTAATTAATACTATTATTTCATATTTTTTCTTCATTTTTTCCTTCTAATTAACTATTTTATGATATATTTTTTCTTCAATATTTAAAAAGTTCTAATTAAATTGGTGAAGAAGGTGCATCATACTTAGGTTCTGCTTTAGCAAATTGCATTAATCTCTCAAATTTGACACTTTACCTTGAGTAAAAACAGTTTATTTGTTTTGGATTGTGATATTTTTAATTATAAAAACTAATTAAAAACAATAAAGCTCTTTTTTCTTTTTCTTTTTATTGTGCTTGCTTTTTTTTGTTCTTTCTTTCTTTGTTAATTTAGCTCATCATTTTATTTTCAACTTTTGCTTTTATTATTAATTAATCTTATTATTTCATATTTTTTCTTCATTTTTTCCTTCTAATTAACTATTTTATGATATATTTTTTCTTCAATATTTAAAAAGTTACAATGAAATTGGTGATGAAGGTGCATCAGGCTTAGGTTCTGGTTTAGCAAATTGCATTAATCTCTCAAATTTGACACTTTAACTTGAGTAAAAACAATTTATTTGTTTTGGATTGTGATATTTTTAATTATAAAAACTAATTAAAAACAATAAAGCTCTTTTTTCTTTTTCTTTTTATTGTGCTTGCTTTTTTTTGTTCTTTCTTTCTTTTATTAATTTAGCTCATTATTTTATTTTCAACTTTTGCTTTTATTATTAATTAATTAATCTTATTATTTCATATTTTTCTTCATTTTTTCCTTCTAATTAACTATTTAATGATATATTTTTTCTTCAATATTTAAAAAGTGAAAATTAAATTGGTGCAATGGGTGCATCAGGCTTAGGTTCTGCTTTAGCAAATTGCATTAATCTCTCAAATTTGACACTTTATATTGAGTAAAAACAGTTTTTTTGTTTTGGATTGCGATATTTTTAATTATAAAAACTAATTAAAAACAATAAAGCTCTTTTTTCTTTTTATTGTGCTTGCTTTTTTTTGTACTTTCTTTCTTTGTTAGTTTAGCTATTCATTTTATTTTCAACTTTAGCTTTTATTATTAATTAATCTAATTATTTTATATTTTTTCTTCATTTTTTCCTTCTAATTAACTATTTAATGATATATTTTTTCTTCAATATTTAAAAAGTGAGGATTAAATTGGTGAGGAAGGTTCATTAGGCTTAGGTTCTGGTTTAGCAAATTGCATTAATCTTTCAAATTTGACACTTTATCTTTAGTAAAAACAGTTTATTTGTTTTGGATAGTGATATTTTAAACTATTAAATTGAATATAAAACTAATAAGATCTTTGAATTTATTTAATAGCTTTTATTTATTTTAATTTTTTATCTTTTTTATTCCACTAATATTATTTTATTTATTAATTTAAAAAATAATTTTTAATTTAAAAGTTTATTCTATTTTAATATTTATTTAAAATTTAGACAAATTTATTTTAAAATTTTTAGGTCAATGTTTTAATCAATAGAATCCAAAGTAATAAGCAAGTGTCGTAAATCAAAAAGATTAGTAGTCATTCATTTCTATTGATAAATAACTGGAGAAAAAAGGATGAATAAATATAAAATGTTTGAATAATATTTTTTATTTTATTATTTAATATTTCGGAAAAGTGTTTTTAACCTAAAATATAAATAGATAGATTCAATATTATTTGCATCATTTGCAAATTTTTAGACAACTGTTGGTTATAATTACCATGAAGCTTCATTAATAAAATAATAAGAATATACAAATCATATCATTATATTTTACAACATAAATGTAAGATTTTAAAAAATATGAAAATAAATCTATTTACAAAAATACTCATAAATACACTAAAAAATTTTTTATTTTAGTGAGTTCCTTTATTTATTTGTCCTTTATATCCAATCTATAGTTCCTACTTTATATTTAAGTTTACATTTTAAATAGAAATATTAAGATTTAATAATCAAAGTTTGTTACACTTTCTTTTTTGTAATTTATTTTACTAAAAGCAAATTTTTTTATTAATTTGTTCTTTTTATTTACTTCTTATTAATTAAATTTTGATCTTGCTATTCAATAGTTTTGAAAAAAAATAAATGATATAATAGATAAAATATTATAAAAAATTAGAAGATGTAATTTATTGTTTTCTTATTTATATACTTTCAATGTATTTTAACTAATATAAAAAGGTTTTAAATTCTTCACTTTAATCTTATTAGTTTCTCCACATTGATCTGAAGTATATTTAATTTATAAATTATTATTTTTATTATTAATATATTCTATTTATTTAATGTTAAGTTATTAAAATTATTATTTTCCTAATAGAAATTATCACTAATAATCAAACATTATTAAAAAAAAAAATTTTTTTAACTTTTTTCACTTTAAATTTATTAAGTTCATTATATATATTTTTTTTACATTTTTTTCTTCTAACAATTTTATTTGTTAAAAAAGTTTATTTATTTTGGATTGCGATATTTTTATTAATAAAAATGAATTTAAACATAATACTTCTTTTAATTTATTTATTAGCTTTTTAATTGATTTATTTTATTTCTTTTATATTGTACTTTTGTTTTTTTTTCTTCTAACTTTCTTAATTTCACTCAATTATTATTTTACAATGTTTGCTATTACTATTTTTTAATTCTTTTTTACAATTTCATATTTTTTCTTCATCTTTTCCTTCTAAATATTTATTAATTATTTATTTTTTCTTCAATAATTATTTAAAAAGTTTCAATGAAATTAGTGATTAAGATACTTCAGGCTTAGGTTCTGCTTTATCAAATTGTAATGATCTCTAAAATTTGGCACTTTATCTTGCGTAAAACAGTTAAACAATTAAGCTCTTTTATTTTGTTTATTTTCTTAATTTCACTCATTTTTTTATTTTTTTATTTTCAACATTTTCTTTATTATTTATGAATTCATTTCTTATAATTAATTTCATATTTTTTCTTTATTTTTTCCTAATAAATACCTTATTAATTATATATTTTTTCTTCAATATTTAAAAAGTTACAATAAAATTAGTGATTAAGGTACTTTAGGCTTAGTTTCTGCTTTAGCAAATTGCACTAACCTCTCAAATTTAAAACTTGATCTTAGGTAAAAAAAAATTTATTTGTTTAGATTGTGTGGTATTTCTATTTATAAAAATGGATTTAAAACAATTCAACTCTTTTAATTTTTTATTAGCTTTTTATTAGATTTATTCATCTTTTTCTTTTTTAATGTAGTTGTATTTTCCTTCTATCTATCTTACTTAATTTCACTCATTTTTATATATTTTCAACATTTACTTTATAATTTATTAATTCATTTCTTATAATTAATTTCATATTTTATTTTCATTTATTCCTTCTAAATAAATAAATTATTAATTTTTTATTTTTTCTTAAATATTTAAAAGTAAAAATTAAATTGGTGATTAAGGTATTTCAGGCTTAGGTTCTGCTTTAGCAAATTTCACTAATCTCTCAAATTTGGAACTTTACCTTGGGTAAAAACAGTTTATTTGTTTTTGTTTGTTATATTTCTATTTCTACTGTTAAAAATAAATTAAAACAAATACTCTTTTAATTTGTTTATTAGCTTTTTAATTGATTTTTCTTTTTTATTGTACTTGTGCTTTTTTTTCTTCTATCTTTCATATTTTCACTCATTTTTTATTTCAGCATTTATTTTATTATTTATTAATTCATTTCTTTTTATTTCTTATTTTTTCTTCATTTTTTCCTTCTAAATAACTTATTAATTAAATATACTTTGAATATTTAAAAAGTGGTAATTAAATTGGTGCAAGTGGTGTAACAAGTTTTGGTTCTGTTTTAGCAAATTTCACTAATCTCTCAAATTTGACACTTTATCTTACGTAAAAACAGAGCAGTTTATTTGTTTTGGACTGTGATATTTCTATTTATAAAAAAGAATTTAAAACAATTAAACTCTTTTAATTTGTTTATTAGCTTTTTACTAGATTTATTTATATTTTTCTTTTTTTATTGTGCTTGTGGTTTTTTTTTCTTTTATCTTTCTCTTTATTACATTTTAAACATCTGCTTCTATTATTTATTAATTCATTTCTTATAAATTCATATTTCTCTTCATGCTTTCCATCTAAATAACTTATTAAATATTTATTTTTTCTTCAATATTTAAAAAGTTGCAATAAAATTAGTGATTAAGGTATTTCAGGCTTAGGTTTTGCTTTATAAAATTGCACTAATCTCTCAAATTTGGCACTTTATCTTGGGTAAAAAGAATTTATTTGTTATGGATTGTGATATTTGTATTTATAAAAATGAATTAAAAACAATCTTTTAATTTGTTTATTTGCTTTTTATTAGATTTATTAACCTTTTTCTATTTTATTGTTTTTGTTTGTGTTTTTTTCTGAAATATTTCATAATAATTTCACTCACTTTTTTTTCAACATTTATTTGTTTTTATTATTTATTAATTCATTTCTTATAATTAATTTCATATTTTTTCTTCATTTTTTACTTCAAAATAAATAACTTATTAATTACATATTTTTTCTTCGATATATAAAAGTGAAAATAAAATTGGTCCAAGTGGTGCATCAGCCTTAGGTTCATATTTAGCAAAATGCACTAATCTCTCAAATTTGGCACTTTATCTTGGGTAAAAATAATTTATTTTTTATGGATTCTAATATTTCAATTTATAAATGTGAATTAAATTCTTTTAATTTGTTTATTAACATTTTATTAGATTTATTGACCTTTTTCTTTTTAATTGTACTTTTGCTTTTTTTCTTCAATCTTTCATAATTTCACTCATTTTTTTTTTCAACATTTATTTGTTTTTATTATTTATTTATTAATTCATTTCATATAATTTTATATTTTTTCTTTCTAAATAACTTATTAATTACATATTTTTTCTTTGACATTTAAAAGTGAAAATTAAATTGGTGCAAGTGGTGCATCAGCCTTAAGTTCTTCTTTAGGAAAGTGCACTAATCTCTTAAATTTGACACTTGATCTTCGGTAAAAATATAACAGTTTATTTGTTTTGGATTGCGATATTTCTATTTATAAAAATGAATTTAAAACAATTAAACTCTTTTAATTTATTTATTAGCCTTTTATTAGATTTAATTATCTTTTTCTTTTTTATTTGCTAATAACTTTTTTATTTAATCTTAAATTTAATTTTTTAGTATTTTATTTAATTTAATATAATATAAAAATAGAAACTAAATCAAATATTAATAATACTCGAAAGTAAAAAGAAGATGTCTTAAATCAAAAAGATTAGTTGCCTTTAAAATACATTTCTGGTGATAAACAAGTGATGAAAAGAATCAATAAATATTAAATATTTGGCTAGTAGAAAATAATATATTAATTATCTTATATAATATTTTTTAATAAAATATTTTAACCAAAACTTTATATAGATAGATAAATATATTTGATTTATTATTATCGTTATTATTATTATTATATCTATGAATATCATATTTGTTTTGATAAATTAGTATAAAAAGCTTATTAAATAAATTAAAATTTAAAAATTCATATCTTTTGCTTTTTAAAGAGTTATGTTGATTGAATAATTTATAGTATTGTTATTTGTAAGTTTTCACTAATTTGTAGATTTTATAGTCGAAATTTTTTTATTTATGAAAGTTATATGAAAATTAATATAATTACATAAATATGTGTAAATATGTCAAAAAAAATTTTTTTATTCTAGTGAGTTCGCATTCTTAATATCCTTATATCCAATCTCTAGTTCCTACTGTATTATTAAGTAAACATTTTAAATAGAAATATTAAGATTTAATAATCAAAGTTGCACCATATTTTTTGCAATTTCTCCTACTAAAAGCAAATTTATTAATTTATTTATTCTTTTTATTTACTTATAATTAATTAAATTTTCATAAATTCATATTCAATATTTTTGAAAAAAAAAAAATGATAAAATAGATTAAATATTATTAAAAATTAAAAGAAGTAATTATTAGCTTTTTTATTAATATACTTTCAATTTATTTTTCTAACATAAAAGATTTTAAACTCTTCACTTTAATCTCATTAGGTTCTTCATATTGATCTGAGGTATATTTAATTTATAAATATTATTATTATTAATATTTTCTATATTTTTAATGTTCAGTTTATTAAAAATATTATTTTTCTCATAGAAATTATTACCTATATTCATACATTTTATTTATTAAAATGTATTTTTTTAGTAATTTTTACTTAATTTTCACTTTAAATTTTTTTAATTCATTATGTATTTTTTATTTTTTGATATTTTTTATACATTTTTTCCTTCTAAAAACTGTTTATTTATTTTGGATTTTAATAAAAAATGAATTTAAAAAGCTCTTTTAATTTGTATATTAGCTTTTTATTAGATTTATTAACTTTTTTTTATTTTATTTTACTTGTATTATTTTTTTTTTATTTTTCTTAATTTCACTTTTTATTTTCAATATTTGCTTTTATTATTTGTTAATTCATTTCTTATAATTTCTTATTTTTTCTTCATCTTTTCCTTCTAAACACTTATTAATTATATATTTTTTCTTCAAAATTTAAAAAGTGGAAATTAAATTGGGGAAAGTGGTATATCAGGTTTAGGTTCTGCTTTAGCAAATTGCACTAATCTCTCAAATTTGACACTTGATCTTAGGTAAAAAAAGTTTGTTTGTTTGTTTGTTTGTTTGTTTTGGATTGTGATATTTCTATTTATAAAAATGAATTTAAAACAATTAAACTCTTTAAATTTGTTTTTAAGCTTTTTATTAGATTTATTTATTTTTTCATTTTTATTGTAATTGCGTTTTTTCTTCTTCTACCTTTGTTAATTTCATTCATTTTTTTATTTGAACATCTGCTTTTATCATTTATTAATTCATTTCTTATAATTTTATATTTTTTCTTCATTTTTTCCTTCTAAATAAATAACATATTAATTAAAAATTATTTCATCAATATTTAAAAAGTCAAAATTAAATTGGTGCAAGTGTTGCATCAGATTTAGGTTCTGCTTTAAAAAATTGCACTAATCTCTCAAGTTTAACACTTAATCTTAGGTAAAAACAGAGCACTTTATTTGTTTTGGATTGAGATATTTCTATTTATAAAAATGAATTTAAAACAAAAAAACTCTTTTAATTTATTTATTAGCTTTTTATTATATTTATTAATCTTTTTCTTTTTTATTGTACTTGTGTTTTTTTCTTCTATCTTTCTTAATTTCACTCATCTTTTTATTTTAAACAATTGCTTATGTTATTTATGAATTCTTTTCTTAAAATCTCATATTTTTTCTTCATCTTTACCTTCTTATTAATTATATATTTTTCTTCAATATTTAAATAGTGGAAATTAAATTGGTGTAAGTGGTGCATTAGGCTTAGGATTTGCTTTAGCAAATTGCACTAATCTCTCAAATTTGACTCTTGATCTTAAGTAAAAACAGAACTGTTTATTTTTGTTTTGGATTTTGATATTTTTATTTATAAAAATGAATTTAAAACAATTAAATTCTTTTAATTTATTTATTATCTTTTTATTAGGTTTATTTATCTTTTTCTTTTTGATAGTATGTGTGTTTTATCTCTTCTATCTTTCTTAATTTTACTCAATTTTTTATTTTCAACATTTACTTTTATTATTAATTCATTTCTTAAGATTTCATATTTTTTCTTCATTTTTTCCTTCTAAATAATTTATCAATAAAAGCAAGACGCAATTCAAAAAAATAGGGATCTTAAATAACTAAATTTTTGAATGGTGTTTGGAAATAATTATATTTTTTTCTTATTTATTTAAAAAGTGGAAATTAAATTGGTGAATGAATGAATGAATGAAATACTCGCACATAGAAATGCACTCAGAATACATCTTAAATGAAATATTTAATAGTAGTTAATACATTTATTTATTTTTATATTTTATTTTATTTTTATTAAATTAAAAACTTGAAACAATTGATGCATTAGATGCAACACTTGATGCACTAGATGCATTAGATGCACTAGAAGCATTAGAAGCACTAGACGCATATGAAACAAAACACATTATATCCTAAATTTTTACAAAAATAATTTTTATAAAATTTTTGGTTAGCAAATTGCGCTAATCTCTCAAATTTGACACTTGATCTTCGGTAAAAACGCTTTATTTATTTTAAATTGAGATATTTTTATTTATAAAAATGAATTTAAAAATATTAAACTCTTAAACTTTTTATTAGATTTATTTATCTTTTTCCTTTTATTATACTTGCATTTCTTCTTCTTCTATCTTTCTTAATTTCACTGATTTTTTTATTTTAAAAATCTGCTTTTATTAATTATTAATTAATTTCTTATAATTTTATATTTTTTCTTCATTTTTTCCTTCTAAATAACTTATTAATTATATATTTTTTCTTCATATTTAAATAGTGGAAATTAAATTGGTGCAAATGGTGCATCAGGCTTAGGTTCTGCTTTAACAAAGTGCACTAATCTCTCGAATTTGGTACTTAATCTTTAGTAAAACAGTTTATTTGTTTTGTTAGGATTGTGATATTTCTATTTATCAAAATGAATTTAAAAATATTAAACTCTTTTAATTTGTTTATTATCTTTTTATATTAGATTTATTTATCTTTTTTTATTTTATTTTACTTGAATTTTTGTTCTTCTATCTTTCTTTATTTAACTCATTTTATATTTCAAGCATCTGTTTTCATCATATATTAATTCGTTTCTTATAATTTTATATTTTTTATTCATTTTTTCCTTATTAATAACTTATTAATTATTTATTTTTTCTTCAATATTAAAAAAGTGAAAATTAAATTGGTGAAAGTGGTGCATCAGGCTTAGGTTCTGCTTTAGCAAATTGCATTAATCTCTCAAATTTGACACTTAATCTTTAGTAAAATAATTTATTTGTTTTTTATTGAGATATTTCTATTTATAAAAGTGAATTTAAAAAAATAAAACTCTTTTAGTTTGTTTATTAGCTTTTTATTAGATTTACTTCTTTTTTTCTTTTTTATTGTACTTGTATTTTTTTCTCTTTTTTCTTTCTTAACTTCACTCATTTTTTTATTTTTAACATCTTCTTTTATTATTTATTAATTCATTACTTCTAATTTCATATTTTATCTTCATTTTTTCCTTCTAAATAACTTATTAATTATTTAATTTTTTTTTCAATATTTAAAAAGTGGAAATTAAATCGGTGAAAGTGGTGCATCAGATTTCTGCTCTGCTTTAGCAAATTGCACTAATCTCTCAAATTTAACACTTGATCTTAGGTAAAAACAGAACACTTTATTTGTTTTGGATTGAGATATTTCAATTAGTAAAATTAATTTAAAACAATTAGACTCTTTAAATTTGTTTATTAGCTTTTAATACTGTATTTTTTTTCTTCTATCTTTCTTTATTTCACTCATTTTTTTATTTTAAACATTTAATTTTATTAATTATTAATTTTTTCTTATAATTTGATATTTTTTCTTCATTTTTTCCTAATTAATAACTTATTAATTTTATATTTTTAATATTTAAAAAGTTGGAATTAAATTGGTCATTAAGGTGCTTCAGGTTTAGGTTCTGCTTTAGCAAATTGCACTAATCTCTCAAATTTGACACTTGATCTTATGTAAAAACAGTTTGTTTGTTTTTTTGTTTTTGGATTGTGATATTTCTATTGATAAAAATGAATTTAAAAAAATAAAACTCTTTTAGTTTGTTTATTAGCTTTTTATATTAGATTTATTTATCATTTTCTTTTCAATAGTACTTGTTTTATTTTTCTATCTTTCTTAATTTCACTCATTATTTTATTTCAACATTTTTTATAATTAATTTCATATTTTTTCTTCATCTTTTCATTCTAAATATCTTATAAATTATATATTTTTTCTTCAATATTTAAAAAGTTACAATAAAATTAGTGATTAAGGTGCTTCAGGCTTAGGTTTAGCTTTAGCAAATTAACTTAATCTCTCAAATTTGACACTTTATCTGAGGTAAAAACAGAATAGTTTATTTGTTTTGGATTGTGATAATTCTATTTATAAAAATGAATTTAAAAATATTAAACTCTTAAAATTTGTTTATTTATTAGATCATTTTATATTTTTCTTTTTGTTTTATTTGTGTTTTTTTTATTCCATCTTTCTTATTTTCACTCATTTTATTATTTTCAGCATTTGCTTTTATTAATTATTAATTCATTTTTTATAATTTCATTGTTTCCTTCTAAATAACTTATTAATTGTATATTTTTTCTTCAATATTTAAAAAGTGAAAATTAAATTGGTGCAAGTGGTGCATCAGACTTAGGTTCTGCTATAGCAAATTGCACTAATCTCTCAAATTTGACACTTGATCTTAGGTAAAAACAGAACAGTTTATTTGATTGTGATATTTCTATTTATTAAAATGAATTTAAAACTATTAAACTCTTTTAATTTGTTTGTTAGCTTTTTAATAGATTTATTTATCTTTTTTTTTATTGTAATAGTGTTTTTTTTCTTCTATCTTACTTAATTTCACTCATTTTTTTATTTTTAACATTTGCTTTTATAAATTCATTTGTTATAATTTCATTTTTTTTCTTCTTTTTTGCTTCTAAATAACATATTAATTATATATTTTTTCTTCTATATTTGAAAAGTAGAAATATAATTGGTGAAATTGGTGCATCAGGCTTAGGTTTTGCTTTAGCAAATTGCACTAATCTCTCAAATTTGAAACTTAATCTTCGGTAAAACTTTTATTTATTTTGGATTCTGAGATTTCTATTTATAAAAATGAATTTAAAACAATTAAACTCTTTTAATTTGTTTATTAGCTTTTAATTAGATTAATAAAATTTTTTTCTTTTTTATTGTATTTTTGCTTTTTTTTCTTCTATCTTTCTTTATTTCACTCATTTTTTCATTTTAAATATCTGTTATATTATTTATTCATTCATTATAATTTGATATTTTTTCTTCATCTTTTCCTTCTAAATAACATATTAATTATTTATTTTTTCTTTAACATTTAAAAAGTTAAAATTAAATTTGTGATTAAGGTGCATCAGACTTAGGTTCTGCTTTAACAAATTGCACTAATCTCTCAAATTTGACACTTTATCTTGGGTAAAAATAGTTTATTTGTTTTGGATTATGATATTTCTATTTATAAAAATGAATTTAAAACAACCAAATCTTTTTAATTTGTTTATTTGCTTTTTATTAAATTTATTAATGTTTTTCTTTTTTTATTGTACTTTTGCTTTTTTTTGTTCTATCTTTCTGAATGTCACTCACTTTTCTATTTTCAACATCTGCTTTTATTAATTCATTTGTTATAATTTCATTTTTTTTCTTCATTTTTTCCTTTTAAATAACATTTTAATTTTATATTTTTTTCTTCAATATTTAAAAAGTAGAAATTATGTTGGTGCAAGTGGTGCATCATGCTTAGGCTCTGCTTTAGCAAATTGCACTAATCTCAAAAATTTAACACTTGATCTTAGGTAAAAACAGTTAATTTGTTTAGGATTGTGATATTTCTATTTATAAAAACGAATTTAAAACAATTAAACTCTTTTAATTTGTTTATTAGCTTTTTATTAGATTTATTTATCCTCCTGCTAATACTTATTTTATTTGATTTTAAATATAATTTTTAATTAAAAAATTTTATTCTATTTTACTTTTTTTAGTAATTTATTTTAATTTAATATTTTATAAAAATAGAAACAAAATCAATTTTTCATAATAAATGAAAGTAAAAAGCAAATATCTTAAATCAAAAAGATTAGTTGTTGTTAAAATTAATTTTTGGTGATAGACAAGTGAAGAAAAAGGATCAATAAATTTTAAATATTTGACTAGTAGAAATAATATGTTTTCTTATATAATATTTAATAATAAGATAATTTAACCAATTAAATAGATAGATAGATAGATAGATTTATAATTTTTATATTTATAAATATCATATTTGTTTTGGTAAGTTAGAATAGCAAGATGCTATACTAAAATTTCGAGGTTTGCATGTCACTTATTATGAAATAGATTTTTTAGTTATTTATTAAAAAAATCTGATTTTTAAATTTATTTATAAAATTATATTAATAATTTAAAAAATAAATAATCATAAATAAGTCCAAAAATTTTTTATTCTAATGAGTTTGCATTCTTCATATCCTTTCTATCCAATCTCTAGTTCCTATGATATTTTTAAGTACGCATTTTAAATAGAAATATTCAGATTTGATAATCAAAGTTAGTTATACTATCTTTTTTGTAATTTCTTTTAATTAAAGCATATTTATAAATTCATATAATTTGTTTGTCCTTTTTATTTACTTATAATTAATT